AGACTTCAAGCTTCTATCCCTAATTTCCCACGCGAGCGGGATGGCTTTTTACTGGTAGGGTATTTCGTGCAAGTGCAAGGTCAAAATGTCCATTAAGAACTGCGATAACCAGCTCTTACACCGACAAACGTTTCCCCGTTTTGAGTGACGGCGAAGACTTAATCCTTCTGCCCTTTACGTCAGTGTTCAGACTTTGTGACGCTCGTGGACGCGCTGTGACGGGCGCCGACGCGCCATGATGCGCTATAACGCGCGTCGACGCGTTACAGTTGAAACTGCGCTCCAAAGCTATAGACGTGAAAGCCGCAGCCGGCCGGCGCCAATCGTTTGTCGTCTGCGAACGCGCAAACGACAGGCGCCGGCATCTTGTGTTTCGAGAGAGTATGGGTATTTGGGGGGGGGGGGGTTGGAGTGGAATGGTAGGTGCTGCCTAGTCACGCAGACTGATGTCAATCACCACTTTCCATCTGCGGCCGCATTCGTGTATATAGCTTTGGAGCTATGTTGTAATTGTAGTGCGTCGACGAGCTTTACAGCGCGATACAGTGCGTCAACACGAACTGAAGGCTGCCTGAATATTTTAGCTGTAGCTCTTATCGTCGTCAACCTTTGTTATTTCTTGAAGTATCGCTTCACGTTTCATTCACCGATCCTGTGCTCCACTGTGAGTACGCGCATTAGCAAAAAAAGCAGTTAGATCCAGCCACAGATCTGTTTCCTCCACCGTTGTCAGAGTTCAGGCATACCAAACCATTGACTGCAGTTGGGAGCACAACATCATAGAGGCGTAGGTGATATTGTTGGAACCGTTGTTCTCCCATTCTCATGGCTTCCATTTCAAAAACTCTGCGAAGGGTACTCTGGAGAGTAGCGTGGAAACGTTGGATGAAATGAGACCCCCTTATTAGCAATGTTACAAATATGGGAGAACGTGATCTTTTCAGCTTTATTCCACTCCGATCGATCTCTGGTCAGTTGGCTGTATAATGGGGGAGTTTGTCCTTCTGAAGCCGCTTTTCCCCGGAAATGGTGAACTGGACGAAATCAATAAAATTTTTACGGTACGCCAAGCACTATTTCCCCATAATGACTGTGTTCAATTCTGCGTTACTACATGAGATTATTTTTTAGGAACTTGGAACCCCATCTGATAGCATATGGGAAGGTTATAGCGAACTTCCTGGTCCAAAAATGGTAAGTGTTTGTTCTTGGTGCATGTCTACTTTCATTTTCTTTTTCATAATTCGCATTGGAGCATTGGGACGAGTTCGAGATAGTAGTCTGCTCTGTTTTAGATGAAACTTGGCAACTTTCCTTACAACCAATTACGGAAGAAGTTCCCTGCTGCCTTGATGAACGAGAGCGGATTCAAATTGTTGAACAGGTACCGCTTTGCCAGAAAAACCTTCCAAAAAACTTCCAATTCACGCTCTGATAAATATGTTCTTTTTATTTAGAATGATATTATTCCATTCAGTTTGGTATTGCCAGATGTTGACGTTAGTCTACAAAATGTCCCATCCGTCCACCCCCAACCCGAGCAGAAAACTTTCTTATTCGACAAAAGGGGCTTGGTAGGATCATTGCGAGAGCGCATTTGTTTGCAAGGATTCAGTTGACCCATGGATTTGCTGCTCGTAGCGAGCAGGGAATAACCGTCCTATCGGCACTTATCCGTGGAAGATGGCCACTGTTAAAAGATACCATCTGTGTAAAAACATTTGTATAGGTAACCTATAGAAATTTGGCGCTACTCTGTTATTACGACTCTGAAAACTCAAAAAAGTGTCATTTAACCTCGTCTGTAGAGGTTTTTCAATGCCCTAGTGGCCAATATGATATCATTTTATAGCGCTAATGCCATTTCGGCCCAGTAGGCCTCAATTTGGCCCAATTTTACCACCATTTCCCCCGACAATTGTGTAGCCTTGTATATTAGGGTTATTCGGCAACCCGATTACAAGTATGACATTCACTGTCTGGGCCTTAACAGAGGCTGGTCCTAAAAAATTAATATCATATTCTTGACCAGGACGTCAACCTGTTGTGCAAGTTTTATCGATTTTGCTGAAAAAGCAGGTGGCGCCAGATGGCGCTAGCCGCGGAAATGAATGTTTCCGTAGCTGGCGCCATTTGGATGAGGAACATTCCAGGTGAAGTTTTGACGAAATTGTCTCGTGTTTTTGAAGTCGTGGTAGTGGATATGGGCCCCAAACTTCTCATTGTTTGTCTTTCTCATTTCGTTGAAATTATGTTGAGATAGCCCCGCGCTCAAGTGATTCGTGGTCGTCCTTAATTGTGCAAGTAGTCCAGCCCCCAGCTAAGAGACTGTCCCACTTTCGCGACTCCACAGCGAGCGAGGAGGGTGCTACAGCCGCCGAAAGTTCTAGTTCTAACACCCGCTCAGTTGGACCGCCCACTTGCTAGATGTCCTCCCTCTGACGGCAGGGCCGCTCAGTTGTTCTTTGTTGGGACGGCGGGCATTAATCGGAATTGCATGTACTTTTTGCTGACCGCGCTCGTGCCCATAATAATTCTGCTCTCCTTTATTACATTTTATTCATTAGGAGCACATACAGTCAACTGCAACCCATCTCGCAAGGTAAAACGCGTTAAAATCACCAGTGATGCAAATTTTTGGTGCAAAAGCTCGGCTGCACTAAAAGATGCACGCTACCACAACCCTAAACTCGTATCCGAGTTATTGAAAGTTTCCTTTTGTCAAGCGTTTTTCGTCCGTGTTTCTGTTGTTTTTCGCATTCTGATATTTACTTCTGGGAGATGTGGAAGCGATGTGGCCAGGGGTTGCGCAGGGACCGCAGAGCGGTGTGGCTACCAGGGAGCGATTTTGTTTCTGTTCTTGAAAATTCTTCTTGCTTTTTTCTTCTCCGAAGAATTACTTATCATTTACTGTTTCATAATTGGAAAGTAACCATCCATGGCCCTTAATCGCGCGAACTGTCTTTAAATGAAACTCGCCTCTGTTTTTCGTTGAAGCAACCCAATATTCCATTTTCCTACTTTCTCACTTTTCTGCATTCCTCTTTTTATGTACTCCTGTCTGCTCTCGTAGTAGTCAAATGTTTCCACATATTTAAGGTTCTTAACTTACGATCCCAAGCGACGTATCACTGCAGAAGAAGCACTCACTGACAAGTGGTTCACGTAAGTCACTAAAAAATATCAGACTTTACTTTTATTCACTGTCCTTCCTCCATTTTTTAATTCGTGGAATCAGCGGCAGATGACGGTAGTTTGAATAACAAATTTCCTATAGCTATTTTCTAGCGAGGATCCCAAGCCAACTCCGCCTGAGATGTTTCCCGACATTCCCAGCAAAGAGCGAGCAACATCGTGCTCCTCCACCAAAAGGCGATAAAGCGAACAAAAAAGCAGAGATAATCGTGAGTTGTTTGTAGTAATTTATTTTCATCCAAAAGGAGGATCATGTTCTGCAAATGTTCTGATGATCTTCTGTTTCAGAATCCTGAACGTGCAAAATTGCTTGCTGACCTCAAAGTACGGCCGGATCAAGTGACGTCCGGTTCATTCTCATTGAAATTTGACAAGACCAGATTTTAAGTGTTCGTTGAAATTTGACCATTGTTTTCAGTTTCAAAGATACTTGTATATTAATAGAGAATGTCTTTAGCTTTCAGTTGTTAACTACTGTTGTTGATGTATTATGTTCTGCATGTAATTATTTAACTTTCTGTACTCTTATTGACTCCATCGTTGAATTATGAGATTATTTCGTTTGTTGATGTGACCCTGTGAATGATGGAGGGTTTACGAGTAAACGTGTTTTACTACTACCAGTCTGGCTGGCGCACACTTCTGTGCGTGATAAAGCAATGCGAATACTTTGATAAATCACACTGACATCAATTTTTATTTATTTGGAATCCACTGTTCGCTGTTCGTATGCATCACACGGGGTTTAGTACAAAGCTTACCGGCGACGTCTATTCACACACTGTACCGTTGGCCTCGATGGCTAACCCTTCTACGAATTTAGAGCAATACACCTCCCCTGAAACATCATTTTTGTCCGGAGCACAACAAGAAACGGCGTGTATCCAGCTTCCAACTTTTTTGATCGGATATTTTGGCTCTTCCCGTTTCACGCGCATTCTATCCCCCCGCCCCATCCCCCCTCGCAAGGGCAATAAAGGAACGAGTTCACTACAGACTCAGTTGCAATTCCAAATACTCAGAAATGCAGTTAAGAAAACCTCTTATCTATTTTTATCAATTGATATCATCGCATGTCACGTGTCGCCAATGTCCACATCATAAAACCTTTATGATTTGTCCGGGTACGGTAAATTGGTTACCAGGTCCGTCTGGGAGGAATAAGAACACTGACTTGTACATCGGCTGGCCCCGCAAGTCATTGTATAGGCCACATCGCATTCAATAAGCCACTACGATTCTGAATGGAAGTAGAATGCGTGCCGCATCCCACAAAGGGATTGATCAACGGCGAAGACTTTATTCTTTTTACATCCCCACTATAATTTTGTGCTTTTTGTGAAGAAGAGGAATTCTTCTAGTTGGTAAATCAGTGTAACAAGTTGGAAAGGCGCGCCAACCGATGGAAGAAGGAACTCGCTGCACACGGCACGCTTCTGACCACGGATACGAAGTTCCATGAGTTCCCTTGCTCGGGTCTACGCTAGCGGCGGATGGAGATGCCAAGGCCGATACAATATCAAGAATAAACGCGGCATGGAACAAGTGGAGGACTGTCACTGGCATTCTCTGCGATAAGAGAATGCCAATTCACCTGAAGTCCAAGATCTACACTTCAGTCGTAAGACCAGTCGCCACCTATGGAGCGGAGACCAAGCAGATGACGGCCGTGGAAACAAGAGCCTATGGTGTCATGGAGATGAAAATGCTGCGATGGAGCTTGGGACACACACGGCTCGAACGAATTCGAAATGAAACCATTCGTGGTAGGATCAAAGTCCAGCCGATTGCCAACTCCCTTGCCGCATCTCGTCTGCGCTGGTATGGTCATGTTCAACGAAGACCTCCTGAGGCCATATGCAAGTCTGCTGACAGGATCGTTTTCGCCGGCAAACGTCCAAATAGCCGACCTAGATTGCGATGGATAGACAACCTGAAGAGGGACATGAATGCTGCTGGTCTGTCCGCAGCCAGCTGTAACGCACTGAAGGACAAAAGACTTCTTGAGGGTCAAAGAACTTGTTTTGTCAAAAAAATATTTCCCGTTATTTTTGGGCCGAAGTCACCATGTTGGGGAGGTTCATGCGGCGACTACAAAAGTGTAGTTCGTTCTTGTTGCGCCCTTCTTAGAAGGTCAAACTAAGGGCGAATAATATGGTGATGGTTCAGTTCCCCCCTAGGTAGCGAAATTTCGCATTCCTGTGAATTTCATTTCCTGGTGTTCACATGATTACTTTGGTGTGTTTTGGGTAGATCCTACCCAGCAGTTACGAAGATCGCTGAAGCTGTACATTTTTCACGAACGATGAAAGTGGAAGTATTGAGGCATGTAGCGCAGTGTGCTGTGCAACCTCTCCGTGAAATGCACCACATACATACACAAGTACCATTGAGGACATTTACAAGAACATGAACCTATGAAAAATGGAATGCGTCCGTGTAGTGTGGACGAACATGATTTGTGGCTGTGGTGTAGTTTCATTCTCAAGAAACAAGTTGGCTAAAAAATGCTATGCCAATTGGGGGAGGGGGTGGGGTGGGGTGGGAGAGAATCGTGCTTCAAGGTAAGATACAAAAGCGATAACAGTGTCACACAAGCATTACCGCTGTTCTGCTCCTTAACTCCTGCGAGAATGGGTCTCTTCTGCTCCCAGCTACGTACGGCTCCCACGTCGCGGATATCGCGACACACGTCCGACCCTGACCTCTACTGTGATAAGATTGAGCCAGGAAGTGACGTGTTAATGTGAAAAAAAGACAGCGGCGGTTGGCGGGGGGGGGAGGGCGAAAACGGGTACTGATATACTTGAAGATATTTGAGATATAAGATCACCAAACCAATGCTACTCCGTGCTAGTAATTACAGTCAGGGTACAGCATCGTGATGTGTGAAATGGCGGTGTCGGTACACCCCCCCCCTTGGAAAGGGATCCTGGTACGACCCACCCCTTTCGGGCTCAAATTGTTTGC